CACACACACACACACACACACACACACACACACACACACACACACACACACACACACACACACACACACACACACACACACACACACACACACACACACACACACACACACACACACACACACACACACACACACACACACACCTTCCTCCTCGGAAATGTCGCGGCCCACTTTCATACACACGGGCGTATCCGTTTGGGTGCACTGTTCATGTTGCAAGACAAGAGGTTAGGTCTACAGGCTATGCGCTACAACGTTGCCGCATGTAACACGGCACGCTCCAGAAAGAGTACCGACGCGCAGCATGAACAAACCTGCCCCACAAGGACAAAGCCCTTCCAGCAGTTGTGCCCGCAACGCGTGCACATCCAGTGACCCTCCGTGTCGCCTATACGACCCATCCGATGCAAATCAACAAGCAAGCCAGGGACATCTGTAAACAGCGGGCATGGCCTCACCTTTGATGGGCTTGCGATAGTAGCCTGGCTTGCAGTCTTGTGGCTGATCGCACCTGTGCGGAAGCATGGCGTTTGTGATGCATGTTGCGCGGACGGCTTGCAGCCAGCTCCTAGTTCTGGACCGAGCTGGGGTCGTACCAGGGTGTCGCGGCATGATCACAGACGAGCTCAACATCCAGATAGGTGACGTCGACCCCCGAGATGGTCTGCGTCCGACGTTGGACCAGGTGATATTGCTCCTGGCAAGTGCCACGGTTGGAGCAATTATTATTCAAGATGAAAGACGCGAATGGAGAGTGAGGCAGCCCAATGAACAAAGCCGAAAAGAAAAAGAAAAAAAGGTGACGGAAAGCCCTTGTGGAATTGGACTCTTTTCTTCTGATGGACTCTCACCTTGGTCGTGGAGAGGCCCGTGACGTGATCACGCTTACGGCCCGCCGTGTATTGCTCTCCCACCTGAAGCAAGTCAACAAGTGCGAATGGCTGGGTCAGCGTGAAACAGTGGCACGTTGTGGGGAAACGAAGCGCTTGCCTTCATCATGTCGCGAGGACGACGCTCAGCGTCGTGCAGATGGATAACG